CGGGATCACGCTCGGAGCCCACCAATCCATCGGATTCAAGGGGCTGCTGCTGTTCGGGAACCGCGAGCAGAAGGAGAAATACCTGCCCCGCCTGGCCACGGGTGAGCCCCGGAATGAGCCCAAAATGATCCTGAAATATTCCCAAAAAATTCCCAAAATTCCCAAAATTCCCGTTTTTTTTAGGGGAATGGGTGGCAGCTTTTTGCCTGACGGAACCCGGCAGCGGCTCTGACGCCGCCTCCATCCGGACCAGAGCCACTCCCAGCCCCTGTGGAACCTTCTGGACCTTGGAAGGGGAAAAACTTTGGATCAGGTCGGGAATTCTGGGAATTTTGGGAATTTTGGGTGAAGTGGATTCGGAATTTGGGGAAAAAATTGGAATTTTAAGGGCAAAAATTGGAATTTTAAGGGCAAAAATTGGAATTTTAAGGGGAAAAAATTGGGTTTTTTGGTTGGGAAAAGTGGATTTTTGAGGTTTTTTGATGGGGTTTTTTGGGTTTTTTTGGGAATTTTGGGGGTTTTCCAGGTTTTTTTGGGAATTTTGGGGGGTTTGGGATTGTGGGATTGAGGATTTGGGGTTTTTTCCTGAAAAAAATTGGTGGAGTTTTAAGGAAATGATGAAAAAAGTTTAAAAATCGTTGGAAAATTCCAAAAATCTCCCAGAATTCCAAAGAAACTCCCAAAAAATTCCAAATAAACCCCCAAAAATTCCAAAAAATCCCCCAAAAAATTCCAAAAACCCCCAAAATTCCAAATAAATCCCAAAAAATTCCTAAAAAATCCAAAAAAATCCCGAAAAAACTCCTAAAAATTCCAAATAAATCCCAAAAAATTCCAAAAAATCCCCAAAAAATCCCTAAAAATTCCAAATAAACCCCAAAACATTCCAAAAAATCCCTAAAAACTCCAAATAAACTCAAAAAAAATTCCAAATAAACCACAAAATTCCAAATAAACCCCAAAAAATCCCTAAAAATTCCGAATATAACCCTAAAAATCCCCCAAAAATTCCCAATTTTCCACCC